ACTTTTTTAGTACCACACTCCTAATTAGAAATATTTTATAGTGAGCTTTAAAATCTGGTAGAGCTATCCTTGCTCTTCTTTTTCGGTAAACCAGTTTTCTTGGTTTATCCTTATTTTATTATTCTTCCAAATGAATTTTAAACAATTTGCCTAGCCCCACAGTCAGGGTTGGGTAGGAGAACTACAGTATTTTTATTGGGATTGTATTACATTTTAAATTAACTTAGGGAGAACTGACATCTTTATGATGTTGAATCTTCCTATTCAAGAACACTGTCTTTCCATTTGTTTAAATTTTGTGGCTTGCAAGAATATATTAAAACAGATGGCCCCTGCTATATTGAAACTTAATCTAGTGGGGAAGACAAAGATTAATCAAACAGGCATGTGAACTAACATGAAATTGCTCTAGTGGTGCGTGCCACATTTCTATTAGAGTAATACTACGTTTTCACATGAAATTAATGTTTTAAAGCAATATCCTTATTCACTGTTTAATATTAATAAGAAGTGATCAGTAATTTTGGCTAAAATTTTTACAAGTTGAGATAGAGCAAAGGTTGTGAAATTATTAAATGGCAGTGCTAGACTAGATGACTCTTCTTTCTTTTTACTGGGCTATTTAACACTTCACTGAGGCCATTGATTTATTGTTGGCCATTTCTTATAACAAAAGCAATACAGCTTTAATTCTTAAATATTCTCATTTATCTGTATTACAGCCTTACTGATTTGTTAATCAACCACGTGTGTGTGGTTTTCTTAAACACATACTATGAAGTTTGTGCCATGGTTACATGTTGGAAATCAGCTGTCTGTCCCCTAGCTGAAGAGCAGCATCGTAGACAATGTATTTTTTGTTTAAGGACTTAAAAGTTTCACTTAACCATAAGAGATTAAAATGAAGAATCCTGATAGGCAGTTAAATCTAGTTTTCTCCCCACATTAATCCTTATTTAGTATCTGCTACTTGTACCTTTATTTTGTTAATCTTCCACCAATCTCTACCATAGTAAAAGTGTCTGTAAAAATGGAATAAAACAACTTTCTTCATAACATGGTAGACTTAACCTATATATCTAAGGGATAAGATAAAGAGTCTATGCTTAATTCATTAATCATTAAAAATTTGGTGAAATGTAAAATAATCATAGATGTACCTTAGAAAGATCAATTTTGTAAATTTGTGAAAGATAAATTAGAGGAGAAATAAGACTTGAGTAAAGAGAGAAATTAATAGGCTCATAAAGTAATCCCAGTAAGAGATAATGAATCCTTGAATGTGGGTGGGAATGTGAAAGGGAGATTACTGATGGAGACAGCATTATAAAGATAGAGTCCAGAAGCCTGTAAAGGATAGAATGTGGAGCATGGACCAGGAGAGCAACAAGTCAAGGAATGAACGTGGGATTCTGGTCCAGAGGATGACATTTTGGCACCATAAATAGAAATGAGGGATATGGGAAAGCATTTGTCTCAATGGAATAACCGGTGTGTTTGGTCTGAAATTTATTGTTAGTGCTGACAAGCTGAATTCCAGATACCAGCCTCAGTGAGGTGAAGATGCATCTCGGGAGATAGTTTGGGACTAGAGAGGTAGGTTTGATAGATAATAAAGTGATAGTTATAATTGGGATCATAAATAGGTAAACTTTTTAGAAGGCAAAACTTTCTGGATATCTTGGAGATGGATAGAAGTCAAGGAAGAAGGGTCTGAGAAAAGGCTCTTGAAGTTGGTGACTAGTGGCCTTTTGGAGGGCAGTTCAGTGGTGTGACAGCAGTGAGATACGGAAGTAGAGTTTTCTTCCTGTCTGCTTTCTCTTTCCGTATGTGCTTAATATATATGTGATGAACAAATGTCTTTTTAAACCGGGGTTGATCGTTGTCATAGTAATCTGACATTTCCTAAGGAGGACAGACGAGTGTCATCTCATTGGATACCCTAGGGAAGCACTATTAAAGAGTTACGTGTTTAATGTTTTTGCCATCTTTTTTCTGTTACCAAGTCCTTTCCCTGTCCTTATTCTTTAGCTCCCTACCATGAGAGAGTCAACCTTTGGTCTTCAAAATATGACATATTGCAAAAGATTTTATGAGAAAAATGGATTCTTAAAGCTTGCATTATTGAGAATTTTTGCTTTGTATACTACTGAAAATGCCTATGTTTTAAGTTAAACACTGAGATGAGCTTTGGGAAAAATGTTGTCCTGATGTCATCTATGAAAATGTAATCTGCTAAGACTGACAAATTGCAGGCTTTGGCATAAACTCCTCAAATACCTTCACACACATTCTTGAAATACTGAAAGTGCAGGTATGATAGAAAAGTCAATTACAGCTGCTGAAGAGGTGCCACTCACTCATTGTGTTTATGAAGGAAATTGCAAGTGTCACGGTTGCTATTTTAATGTTGCATTAAAGCAAACATATCACTCAGAATATACGTTATGCAAAAGTATACAGACTTTACTTTCCCTGTACATGTACTATTTTAAGAAAACGGGGACACCGTTGGAGGCAGAACACACTTAGATTCTTTGCCTGCAGCCTAACTTCTTTGGTATACTTAACATCTTAAATCATAGTTGTGGCTAATGTTTGTGTTCATATCACAGCATCACAAATGTAGTAGGCGTGACCGTAGTCATATCTAGTATGTTTTCAGTGATACTTCTTTTTGTAACTAACCCATAGCACATCCAAATGAATTACAAGACCTGGTAGAGTAGGTTCTACAGTAAGTGAATGATCATAGCATCCTCTGCCGTTCTGCAGAAGGGCATGGTGGATCAGTTTTTCTTTTAATTTTTATAGCTTTTGATGCCCACCTAATTCTTCAAGCTTAGGCTGCTTAATTATTTAATGGACAGTGATCATTAAAGTCACTCTCTGCATTACAGAAACTAAATTGTTGGCTGTTATTAAACAATAATTAATATTTTTACTTTATGGAGGTATGTAAGTGTAAAATCAGCAATGAAAGCTTACTGTGACTGGCCAGAATTTATTTTCTTCTTACTCGTTTATGATTAATGACTCCTCCTTACTTTAACGGTTGAACCCAAAGTGCCTTTTTCTTGATAAAATAGTAATAGTTATGCTGATAGTAAAATTAAAATGTCTTTATTTAGTGTGACCAACCTTTTTATTTAAGTAGACATATTCAGGCATCATTTTAGGTATTTTAGTCTCCTCAAGTGTTCATTGTTTGTTTTTAGCTGATTACTGAGGGTACACTAGTGACCTCTATATAAGGAAATCAATGTGTTTTGGATATGCCATTCTGATGCTAAATGTTAATTTAAAACCCAGATTAATAATAGGTTTTGTTAGAGAGAGGTATTTAATTACCTTATATAATGAAGAGGGACTAGTCTTGTTAGGGTGTGACTGGTAAGAGCTCTTAAAAGCTAAATATCTTTTCTTGAAGGCATTTTTCTGAATCACTAAAAGACCTTATTTTATGTCAGTGCTCACACTTTTATCTGTGTGGCCAGGGCTTTGGTTCATGACATAAACTCCCAGGGATTATATTGCAGTCATTTACTTCACATGTAAGTGTCATCACAGTTAGCTGGAAGTGGTGCTTTGGGTTATAAATATCATAAGTAAATTAAAAATTAACTTCCAGTGGAGGTAAGTTTATTGTCAGAAGCCTTCACAGTACTTAAGCTCATTCCCTGGGATGCTCAGTCTTTCTGTCATCATTGCCATGTTGTGGCTCATCCTGGGGGAACCAGCAACACCTCCATTATGTTCCTGTCACTTTTTGTGTGATGGGTGAAGGGCCTTTGTCAGGAGGTCCTATTTTTAGCTACATTAGATTAAGTAGATAACATTTCTTCATTCAATCCCAGAATTGCTGTTAATCTGAGATACACTTACTTAATTCTGTTCTGGCCTGTTCTTATGAGAAAAAGTTATCCTGACTGTCTCAGTTTATATTTAATTTACATACTTTGTACATAGGTATTATTAGAAAGATAGCAGGAAATACACTGGCTTTAGAGTTGGCCATACCTGGGTTTGGTCCCAGCCCTGGGACTTCATCTTTTAACCTTCTCCGTCTTGTTCACTGCTCTTCTCACTTCTTCCACACTCTGGCTTTCCTTCTGTTCTTAGAACCCCTAATTCTCTCCCTAAAAACATGGTTTTCCCAGCTGCTCTTGAGACTTGTTCCTTCATGTCATTCCACAGAAATACTACTTCTTCAGGCCTTCCCTGACCATCCTGTTTTAAAATAACACCTCCTCTCACCCATGATTCTCAGTCTCATTACTCTGCTTTATTTTCTTCATAGCACATTGCCATCTATTCATTCGCTGACTTGATTAATGTATAGGATTGGTCTCACCTCCCAGAGGCCTCCTTCAGGTCTTTGCTGTGTGGTCATCTCCGTAGGTAGTTCATAAATGCCTTTTGCTTCTCCAGTGCAAGCAAGAGAATCTTTCTCCATTCACATTTCTTTCAGGAATTCTCTGTTCCTTTTAAAGAGCTTATTTGCTATGTCTGACCCTTTCAGCATAGTTTGCCTTTTGATTAACTCAATATTAATTGATTTGGGCCATAATTATGTCTACAGAATCCATCACCTTTGTCATGTAATGTAACCTAATCATGGAAATGACATCCATCATATTCACAGGCCCACCCACACTCAAGAGGGATTTTATCGGTTATATACACAGGAACAGGAATACTGGGGCCATCTCAGAATTCTGCCTACCATGTGATAATACCAAATCATTATCTGGGTTTAAGAAATTTTAAAAATATAATTTGCCTTTAGATTTGTGTCACCCTGAAGTTGTTTTTAGGTTATATAAAACTTTTTTATTTAAAAAATGTTAGATTTGAGACATTTTTAATGTAAAACATTTTTCAAAGTGCTTTTGAACTGTCAGATTAAATTTTTTGAAAAAGCTGTTTGGTTTGAAAAAATACATCACTTTATACCCACTGTAACTTAGGATGGTTTGGGAGCTTGAGAGACTAGTCTAATTACATCCTTTTAATAACAAAGACACCTTTGTTTTGCAGAGTAATGCAAAGGCAAGTCAGTTACTCATTTAGTCTTCATTCTAAATGATGCTGTGGGCTAGATTTATTACATTCAATTGTGTTGATAGCATTCGAGCAGAATTTTAAATGATATGATTTCCTGGCCATAAACAAGCTGATTTACACTAGAATAAACAATGTTTTAGTAAATATCCTAATGAAAATCATAGGTACAATAAACTTGACACTTTCTGAATGCAATGTGAAATTATTTCACAAGTACAAAGAATGAAGGTATGGTTTAATTTATGAATTGCTCATCTACCAAAAGTTCCCTCCCAGAAAAAAAAGGACTGATTTGCCTTTTGAAAATAACCGTCTACACCAAATACTCTGATAAAATTGTATTTGTTGTTTGGTTTTTAAAATATGCAAATTTGTAGCCATTGGACAAATATGAATCAGTAGAACAGATAAGAATCAAGATTTTCTTGGGTAGCTCAAATAATTCATTTTGCATTATAGCCTTGACATCCATATATTTCTTTATCTTCCCTTCACTTCTGCCCTCCATTTTCTGAAAGCTCTCTTATATTCCTGGTTGCTAATCATGGTTATCTAATTCCCTTCTTATCTCCAGGGATGCTCTCAAACTGGTCCAGTTGAAACAGATGGGCAAGAGTCCTGAAGCCAGACCCACCCCAGCCATGCCAGCCACTCCGACAACACCTTTGCCCCCCCAGGCCACTGCTGTGCCATCTTATCCTCGGCCAATGATTCCACCCGTATCAACTCCTGGACAACCTAATGTAGCGGTAATATCTGAGTAGACTTTTATTTTTCAGATTTAAGTGAAAGAGAAAATAAGAACCATTACAAGTACTTTTACCAGTCTGTTTTAGTAGTAGCTCAAAGTGATAAAGACAAAAATACTCCACATGTTTTGTTTTGCACATTTCCATGAGCCAAATTTGTTCGTACAGTGCCACTTTCCAAATAGAATTATGGTTCAATTTGAATTTACTACAAGTTCTACAACTTGAGTGCTGTGTATATGCTCTATAATTAGGATACTTTTCATGTCTTTTTGGGGGGGGGTGATACTAGTAATTGGTAACTGACACAACATCCCTTTTGTGGATTTCTTCTATTTTTTGGCCAAGGGAATTGATCGTTTTACTGTGAAGAACTATAGAGATTATATAGCTAATCATTCTTTCCTTCTTGGATACATGCAGTATAACAGCCTTGTTTATTTTCAGATTACTCCATTTTACCTCTGTCTCCCTTTCTTAGTACCTTTTATGTCATTTGCTGCCCATGAGAAGAAATGCAGGATAATCAGGATAATAATTTTATTTAAAATTAAATAGACACTGTAAAAAAAAAACCACCAAACAAATAAACCTACACAGCTTTTTCTGATGGAGAAGTATATTCCAATATAATATTTTAAAAGAATTAAGGCAGTATAAGTTTCATGAGCAACATACTTTTTAAGTGTACGTTAATGATTCATGACCACATACACAAAAGTTTATGAGTAATCAAACTTCATTTCTTTAAAAAGTAAGTTATTCAAATTAGGAAGATAAACCTTGCTTTCAAATTCTTACAGTATGTAGACAGCATTTATTTTACTTGATCAAATATCTTGCTAACATAAATTGTTTAATTCCCTGAGAGAGCATTTGTTAAAAAAAAAAAAAAAGTCAGCTCTATTTTGGCTGTTTTGTACTATCCTAAGTGATTGTGATCCAGTCCCAGAATGGAGTAAAGGACAAGAAAGGAATTAGATGTAATTTAAGGTCCATCATGGTTTTGTTATCTTTTCAAAGGACAGAGTGGAAAAGCTACATTCAAGTTACAGGAAATTTTTATTATCTTATTCATACTTTATATTAGGAGTTTTTTGGAAATAAGATACTAATGTGATTTAAAAAATTTTTAATTACAAAACAAAAATAGTATGTTGGGTTTTTTTTTCTACTGTATGCCATTTCTTCTAATTGTTTTATTGATGGATTGCTTGCTTTGAGTTTTCTTAAAAAGTGATGTTTGTAACAAAAGCTACCTACAGGCTTACAGGTGGTATCTCAGTACACACAGCCATGGGGGTATTATTCATGATTTGGTAGATGTCTTTTTAATCATCTTAAACATAGCAACATAAAGATGTTCCATGCACAACTGTAACACGAATTTTTCTACTTTTTTCTATAGTCATTTACTATAAAGCTAAAACTCCTAAGATATCTTCTTACAGTAAGAATTTTTAATAATACTTTTACTATATTAATCTTTATTTTCGTAAGCTAGGTAACTGAGACTGGATTTCAGTTATACAGTTTGTTTATTTGTTTTTTCCAATTCCATTTATGGTTTAATGGACATGTTGTTTTTTACAGGGCACATTCACTGAAATCCCTGCTAGCAATATTAGAAGAGTTATTGCTAAGAGGCTAACTGAATCTAAAAGTACTATACCTCATGCATATGCAACTGCTGACTGTGACCTTGGAGCTGTTTTAAAAGCTAGACAAAATCTCATCAGAGGTTAGTAAAGCTGAATTTATTTTATGTAATACACATGCTAAACTATTATGAAAGCCTTTATTTATAAAATGTACATTGTGTAGCTTTTTTTTTTCAATTTTATCATCTAGCTATGTTTTAGTGCTACAAAAAAATTGATTATCTTTTCTTATAAGAAATAGATTGGTTCCAGAGTATTGAATTAATTATACTTTTTGATATGATGAGTGAATAAGCAGTTCTTAACATCTCAGAAAGTATATAATCCGGAACTGATTTAAGAATGTTTTAGATTATAAATATGTCTTAGATATCACTTGTCCTTATAATTTTAATTTTCAGTTTCTTTTCAAAATGTACTTTTATATTTTTAAATTTGTAGTGTTCCTCCTGTAAATCAGTTAAAACTAAGGTTGCTGAGAGACATAAATTTTTAGTATGAACTGATGTTTTATTTTGTCTTTGCAGTTTTTTGGCTTTTATTTCATTTTCTTGCCTTATTGCACTGTCTAGGACCTCTGTTACAGGGATGAATATAAGTGGTGAAATCAAACATTCTTGCCTTGTACTGGATCTTAGGGATAAACATTTGTCTTTAATGTTAACTGTTGGTTTTGGGGAAGGTAACTTTCTCATGTTGAGGAAATTTATTTTCCTAATTTGCTGAGAATTTTAAGCATGAATGGATGCTGAATTTTTCAAATACTTTTTGTGCGTCTCTTGAGATAATCTTTCCTTTCCCTGTTAATATGGTGAATTACGTTGATTTCCAGATGTTGAATCAACTTTGTTTACCTAAGTGATTCCTCATTAATGAGTGATGAAAGCTTACTTAATCATTAATTTTTTCATATATTGCTTGATCCCACTTTCTAAATTTTTGCCAAGAATTTTTACACCTATGCACATGAGAAATACTGGCCTGTGGTTTTTCCTTTATTGAGAATTTTTGGGGGTTTGTTATCAGATTGCAGAATGAGTTGGGCTGTATTTCTTACTCCTTTGTTTTCAGGAAAAGTTTTGAGTAGAATTGGTTTTGTTTCTTTTTTAATTATTTGGTGTAATTTACCAGTGAAGCTATTTAGGCCTACTGTTTTCTTTATGGGGAGATTTTTAACTGCAAATTCAGTTTTTAAAATAGATAAGAGTTATTTATTTCTTCTTGAATGAAATTTGATAGTTTTGTGTTTTTCACGGAATTTGTTTGTCATCTATCAAATTTATTGGCATAAAGTTGATCATAATATTACCTTACTGTACTTCTAACATCACTATATACATTCCTTCATATCCACAGCTTTTGCATCAATGGATTAAACCAACCATAGGTGGAAAATATATTTTTTTATGTAAAGTTCGAAAAAGCAAAACTTGAATTTGCCACATACTGGCAACTGTTTGCATAGTATTTACATTGTATTAGGTATTATAAGTATTCTAGAGATGATTTAAAGTATACAGGAGAATGTGTGTAGGTTATATGCAAGTACTGCACCATTTCCTGTAACGGACTTGAGCATCTCGGATTTTGGTATCTGAGGGATATCTTGAAACTAGTTTCCCCGGGACACCAAAAGATGACTGCAATCTGAAGTGAGGTCATCATTTTATATATTAATAATTTGTCTTCTAACTTTCTTGTTCAATCTGGCTAGAGGTTTATCAATTTTATTGATCTCTTCAAAGAACCAGTATTTAATGTTATTAACTTTCTATTTCTATAATTTTGTTTTTATTGATTTCTGCTCTCACCTTTATTGTTTCCTTTTTTCTGTTTGCTTTGGGTTTAATTTTCTTTCCCCCACTCTAGTTTCTTAAGGTGAAAGTTGATATCAATATAATATAATAAATTTTACTTCTAGTATAAGCATATGCTTTTAAGTTCTCTTTAAGCAGTGCTAGCTGTATCCCATAATTTTTGACATGTTTCATTTTCCTTCCCATTCGATTCTAGGTGTTTTCTTATTTCCCTTGTGATTTCTTTTTTGATTCATCATTTAGAAGCGTAAGTTTAATTTCCAAATACTTAGGGGCTTTTCAGTTATCTTTCTTTTATGATTTCTAGTTTAACTCAGTTGTGTTTAGAGAACATGCTTTATATGATTTAAATCTTTTTAAATTTGTTGAGATTTACAGTCATAATGTTACTAATTTATTTTATAGTCATAATGTTACCAAGCTCGTACTTCGCATTGCAGGACAGCCAGTAAATCAAGAGATGAGGTGTTGGGGCAAGTAAGAATGATTTTATTCAGAAAGCCAGCAGACCAAAAAGATGGCAGACTAGTGTCCCAAAGAACCATTTTACTTGGGTTAGAATTCAGGCTTCTTTTATACTAAAAGGGTAGGTGTGTGACTGGGTGTTGCAGACTTCTTAGTGCTGGAATCCTTTGTTCTTACAGTGTCTGTGTGAGTCTGATCACAGTATTCCTATAAACTACCAACAAGACAGTTGTTATTTTCTGTTCTGCAACCTTTTATCTCCTGATAAATGGAAAAGTGTTATACTTTTAAATGTCAAGCCTGGGAAGTAGAGCATTGAGAAAGGGCTGTTATCTATATGTCATGCCATAGACATCATTCTTTTACAAAAGTGCTGAGCCAGCATGAATGACTAAGCACAGGCAACAGAGCACAAAGGTTAGAAATAAAGGAATAGGTCCGGTATGGAGTCAGGTTTGTTATTCTCTGTTACTATAATAGGGTCTGTCTTGGTGAATGTTTCATGTGTACTTGAAAAGAATGTATGGTTTACTTTTGAGGAGCATTCTGTAAATGTCAGTTAGGTGAAGTTGGTTGATAGAATTATTCTTGTCTCGTATACCCCACTGATTTCTTATTTTTTTGTCTTATTAATTCTTGAAAGAAGGACATTAAAATATTTAATTATAACTGTAGATTTGTCTGTTTCCCCTCTTAGTTTTGTCTGTTTTGCTTCATGTGTTTTGAAGGTCTGTTAATAGGCACTTACACATTTAGGATTTTTGTATTTTCTTGATGAATAGACTCATCATATAATATCCTATCTGTTGCTGGTATAATATTCATTATCCTCAAACCTTCTTTGTCTGATGTGTATGTGGGCATTAGTGTTTTCAAGTTATGTCTTCTTCATTCTTAATGTAGCTGTATCTTTATATCTTACACATAACACAGGTTCGGCTCCAGACCACCACAATAAAGCAAATACTTCAATAGAGCGAGCCACACATTTTGTTTGTTTGTTTCCAAGTACATATAAAAGTTACGTTGCACTACCCTACGGTCTGTTAAGTGTGCAATGGCATTATGTCTAAAAATACTTTATTGCTAAAAATGCTAACCATCATCTGAGCCTTCAGTGAGTCAGTCTTTTTGCAGGGGGAGAGTCTTCCCTCAATATTGATATCTGCTGACTGATCAAGGCGGTGGTTGCTAAAGGTTGGGGTGGCTGTGGCAATTTTTAAAAATAAGACAATGATGAATTTTGCTGCACTGATTGACTCTCCTTTCACAAATGGTTCTCTGTAGCAGCAGTGCTGCTTTGTAACATTTTACCCACGGTAGAGCTTCTTTCAGAAGTTACAAAGCAGTGCTGCTTTGTAACATTTTACCCACCGTAGAGCTTCTTTCAGTCTACTCAAACCCTGCTGCTGCCTTGTCAGCTAAGTTTATGTCATGTTCTAAATCCTTCGTTGTCATTTCAACAGTCTTCACAGCATCCTCACCAGGAGTAAATTGCAGCTCAGGAAGCCTCTTTCTTTGCTCATCCATAAGAAGCAAGTCCTCATCCATTCAAGTTTTATCATGAGATTATAGCAGTTTAGTCGTATCTTCAGACTCCACTTCTAATTCTGATTCTCTTGTTACTTGTACCATACCTGCAGTTACTCCCTCCATTGAAGTCTTGAACCCCTCCAAGTCATCCATGAGGATTGGAATCAACTTCCAAACCCCTGTTAATGTTGATATTTCTACCTCTTTCCATGAATTATGAATGTCCGTAATGACATCTAGATGGTGAATCATCTCCAGAAGGTTTTTCAATTGACTTTGCCCAGATCCATCAAAGGAATCATTGTCTATGGCAGCTATATATAGCCTTATGAAATGTACTTCTTTAATAAGACTTGAAAGTTGGAATTATTCCTTGATCCATGGGCTACATGATGGATTTTTAGCAGGCACGAAAACAACATTAATCTTGTCTGATTTCCATCAGAGCTCCTGGGTGACCAAGTGCATTGTCAATGAGCAATATTTTGAAAGAAATCTTTTTTATGAACAGTAGGTCTCCACAGTGGGCTTAAAATGTTCAGGATACCATGTTTTAAAGAGATACGCTATCATCCAGGCTTTGTTGTTCCATTTATAGAGCACAGGCAAAGTAGATTTAGCATCGTTCTTAAGGGCCCTAGGATTTTCAGAATGGTAAATGAGCATTGGCTTCAACCTAACATCACCAGCTGTCTAACAAGAGAGTCAGCCTGTCCTTTGAAGCCAGGCATTGACTTCTCCTCTCCAGCTATGGAAGTCCTAGATGGCATCTGTTTTCAATAGAAGATTGTTTCATCTATAGTGCTTGCCGTTTCCTTACACATTTATGTTATGGAGATGGCTTCTTTCCTTAAACCTCATGAACCAACCACTGCTAGCTTCACACTTCTCTTCTGTAGCTTCCTCTCCTCTCTCAGCCTTCACAGAATTATAGAGAGTTAAGGCCTTGCTCTGAATTGGGCTTTGGCTTCAGGGAATGCTATGGCTGGTTTAATCTATCCAGAATACTATAAAACTTTCTTCCTATCTTGCTTTTCCTCCCGCCCTATTAGGATGGGCACAGCTTTCTCTTGTGGTTTTTTCTTTACATGCTAAGTGAAAGCAGAACTGATAAATCAGCTTAGGTACAGGCTTTCCAACTTGACAGCTTTTAAAAGTTCAAGGAACCAAATGAAAAGCTATTTCAGAGAGAATGGTCAATAAAATATTCAAGAAGTAAACCCTGGAAACTGCCCTTTTAGGTCTCAAATGACACTTACTTAGGTATGACATAGAAATTATTATGGGAATAATTTTCCTGGTTCCTTTCGTTCATGAGGCCAGAAACAGTGCTATTTCAGTGGGGGTGTGGATTACAGTAGTACCTTTGCATGATCCAGTTTTGGTATGTCCTTTCAATTAGGAATTTTCTGGCAAGTCTTCAAAGAGCCCACATTATCCAAGTATCTCCACTCTTCTTTCTTATGTAAGATTATAGTATATAGCATTCTGTATGCGTATCTCACACTTTATTTTGTAACAATATACAAATAAGAATATTTTATATTCGTAATGTTTCATACTGTCTTCTTAATGTCACCAATGGTCTCCTTTCAGCATGTTTGAAAATTTCCGTAATAAAAAATTTTTTTCAGTGTGTTTTAAATTTCATTTAAAAAATAAAGGATCTTGGGAACAAAATCTCCTTTGCACATGTTAGATTTGAGATGCCTATTAGACATGTAAGTGGAAACATCACGTGAGAAAGTGGATATGAGTCTGAAACTCCGTATACATAAGGACTGGGGACAGGAGGAATCATTGTCATATAGATGGTCTCAGAACCATGGAACTGAAGTTCTCACCAGGCAGGTCGTTAGCATGAGAGGAAGGGACTTGAACGTGAGCGAACAGAGAGTGGAATAAAACCAGGAGAGTCTAGTGACACAGTCGGAGAGAGAAAGTGTTTCAAGCTGAAGAAGGTGATCAAATGTAGGAGTATGATGAGGGCAGGGAATTGTAGGTGAGGACTGTGGACTTGGGCAGTAGATTTGGAAATCATCAGCTAGCAGGTGTTTTGAGAAGTCTTCACTCTGGATACCGGTGGATAGTAGATAAAGTGAGGAGGCTGAGAGAGGCAGGAGAGGTAAGCATAATGAGTTCATAAAATACTATGTCTGCATATCAAAATTTATGCAGACCAGATCTTTTGTATGTGGTTATCATTAAAAGTCTAAGCACTGGAAATCCGTTTCTATTTCTGCTCCCAAAGGGATTTTAAATAAACAAAAATGTTTGTGTTTCTGGAAATCTGAATTATAAGAGCTGTGTATTGGAAGAGCAGCTGGCGGTTACCATGACAGCTTGGCAGTATTAGGTTTATAGTACTACATCTCATCTCTTTCTGAAATCTTAGCATGCCTTTGAAATGAGCTATTGTTCACGTAAAATTCCGTGATACTGCAGTAACAGGATGTGTGTATTCTGCCACATACCATCGACTAGATTTTGATCTTCAAGTCTTTTTCTTGAAGTTCTTGCAATAAAGAATCAAATGTAGTTTACATTTTCTAATAGTTTCATACCCACTGGGAAAAGCAAAGGTATGAATCAAATGCTTTAGTTATGATCAGCTCTTTGGGAAGGGAGGGATCCCAGCTTTATCTTAAAATCATTATGTATAGTGAAAGGAAATTGATTTAAATGGATTCACCATAGAATTAGACAGAGAACCTCATGTTATTCATTACGTGAGGATCCATGCCAGCATTGCTTCATCTTTGGCATTTGCTATATCCTATTTTGTTAAAAAACAACCCTTATTTAATGTAATGGTCTTAAATTTTTTCATCATACAGCTCATTAGTAAAAAAATTTCTGAGCATTCCCTTTCTCTCTTTCTACGTATGTATTTGTTTCTTTAAAGTGACTACATGCACCACTGTTCTAATATAATCAGTCTATTATAAAGCATGAACAAGATACAAACGTTTGAGAAGGATGTGGAAAAAATGAATCATCTTGTAAACTTCCTGGCTACACAGGCCTCTGAGAGAGACCATTTGTCTTTTTAGAGACCCAGGAGTTGGTTCTTTTCTTTCTGATTATGGTTATAATGTATATCCTTCAAGTTCTTATATATGATATCTGAACAATATAAAAGAATTGTAATCAGGCCCGGGAGTAAACTTTTACATTTATGGTTAGTTTTATTTATCTGGGACCTCATATAATGAAAGTTTTTCTACTCGAGAGAACCTTATAACTAAGCAAACAAACAAAAAAACCTGTAAAATTTTTCATTTGTCAGTACATAATTTAGAAGTTTGCAATCATAATGGTTAATTTTGAAGTTGTATAATGAATGCTAATTTTAATATGCTTGTTTTTCTTTCAGATGACATTAAAGTATCAGTGAATGATTTCATCATCAAGGCAGCGGCTGTTACCCTTAGAGTAAGTAGTAAACCCCCAAATAATTTTAGCTGCTAAAGTGGTCTCGTGTCTTGGGATTTTATATAATAAATAGAACTCTTATTTTAAGTCACAACAATTTTATAATTTTAATGCTAAAAATATTCTATTGTTTAATCTTACTCTCAGTTTTACAGATGAAGAAATTGAGAATCAAAAAGGCTTACAATGAATTATAGCAGAATAAAGACCATTTATTCCACAAATACTAATTGATCCCCTAGCTTGTACTAAATATTAGGCCTTAGCAGTATAGCAGTGAACAAAAGCCTATATATTTTCTGCTCTCGTGGGGCTTACAGTCTAGTAGGGAGAGACAAACATACATATGTCAGGTAGTGAAAGCACTGAGGAGAAAAAGAAAGCAGGAGAAGGGTGTTATTTTCAAAAATTCAGCAAGGAAGGCCTCTCTGGCAGGGTGATAATGGAGACAAGGCCGGCAGAGAGGGAGAGAGCCACGTAGGTCTCGGGGGAGGAGTGCTCTGGGCAGAGGGGACAGCAGACACAGAGGATGTGAGGAGCTGATCGTGTCACTCAGCGACGTGGCGCTGGGGATGAAGGAAGCCTAGAGTGGAGTTAGCCAGAGTGGGGAGGTAGGAGGTGAGATTCAACATGAAAAAAGACGGAGTTGAGGCAGCCCCAAAGTACATGAGTCCTTAGTGGCTGTGGTAAGGAGTAGGGATTCAATTATGAATGAGAAGGATGTCTTTGGAGCGCTTTGAGCAAAGGACTAACACGATCTGACTTAAACTTTAAAAAGAAGGAGGAGAGCCTGCTGCGGGGGTTGTGCGGAGCATGGCCTCAGGAAGCCAGGCAGAGGCAGTGCTCTCTCCTGGAAGGCTGGGGGATGACCGTGGCTTGGGCAGAGCTGGGTCACATGGAGACAGCCGGTTATGTTCCAGAAGCAGAGCCAGCAGGATTTGCTGATGGATCGGATGTGGAGGGTGAGAGAAGGGACAAGGATTTTGCCCCAAGCAGTGGAAGGAATGGAATTTTCCCTGTCCTAAGATTGGGAAAATGGGAGAGGAGCAGGGATGAGGCAAGGAATCTAGAGTTTTGGACAAATTGAGTTCAGGAAACCTAGCGGCATTCCAGCGAGGGGTGGCAGGAAGGCAGGCGAACTTGCGAGCCTGCAGCTCAGCAGTGTCTGGCTCCAGATGTAAACTCTGGACCCGGGCTTCTGACGTCCCGCTCAGCACCGTTTGCTGTGATGCCTTCTTTCTTCTTTCTAGGCTATTTTCTGGATCACTGTTTATTAAGTGCTGTATTTCAAACACATTTATAAGGAATTCACTTTTACATCTTGGACAGTGCAATAATAAAGAATTTTAAAGGCATGCCTTTTCAGCCATTTGGTATCTAAATGTTCATATGGTTTTTCTTTTTGACCAAATGATATTTTGAATTATATTAATGGTTTTTCTGATTATGAGTCATTCTTGCCTTCTTCAGGTGAATCCCTCAGGATCATTAGCTGTTTGTTAATATTTCATTTTATGATTTTGCATCAGAAGCCATAAGTAATTATTTAAATTCTGTGCTAGCTTTTTTCAGTCTTTTCTTTTTTTTTTTAAATCATTGCCTTCATAAAATGAATTTGGATACATTTTTCCCTTTCCTTTTTCTGTACTTATTTCAATATTATAAAGATTTTTATTTCTCAAAGTTTTATAGAGTTTACCAGTGAAAATATGGGAGGCTATTTTGAGGAGGAGGCTCTGGCAACTTTCTCATTTTTTTTACTGCACAATTATCAAGCTATTCTTGAATCAATTTTAGAAATTTATATATTCCCAGAAAATCATTTATTTCATGGATTTCCAAACTTATTAGCCCAGAGTTATTTGAATTTGTTTCTTACGATTATTTTAATGTCCTCAGTGCCTGGGTTTATTCTGAACTCTGTGTTACTTTTATTGCATATTTTGCATATTGTGTATTATTGCATATTTGTATTCTCACTAGAAATATTTTGTTAGAAAACATGAATGTGTAATTCATTATAATTATTTTTTATTAATAAGAAAGTTTAAGATGAATTTTCCTTTGAATACAACTTAGGCTTTATCCCAGAGGTTTTTGTTACACAACTTTCTAATCGATTTGTCAAATAGTCTTCAATTATGAGGTTTTTTTTTTCCCCTCTTATTTCAGTGTCGTCTATGAAGAATTTAAAATCTTCTGAGGGGTTGGGACGTAATTGTTTATTTCTTTGACATAGTAGCATTGTTTAATGAATGAGCTGCGCCTTGAAATGTGGAGAAGTGAAAAGAGCAGTTGAGCAGTGATGAAGTGGAAGTGGGTGTAGGACAGCAGCAGTGAGAAGCCTGAGTAGGGTGACAGTTCACCTTAGGGGAGTGGTCAGGAGTAACATTAGATAGACTGGGTGGAATCAAATGGTGGGTTGCTGTGTTTGAAAGACACACTGGGAGGCCTGGATCTTATTCTGTAGAAAGCAATGAAGTTTTGAGAAGAAAAATTAGTTTGTAATTTCTGTTTTTCAGCATCATTGTCTCCTGTGAATATCTGGCAACATTACCCGTACACACTGTTTCCAAGCGTTTAGTCGTTCCGTCTGGTTTTTTCCATCCTCAGTGTAGTTGTATGTGTATTAAATGTACACATGCTCATATATAGTATATAACATGTGTTTATGACGCCTAGGAAATCTCTCTTTAATAGAGAAGTCATTTATTAAGAGCTTTCTAGTATCTTCCAAGGCTATGCTAGAAAATCAAGCTTCCTCATGCCACAGGAATAATATGGTGGAATGTCACTCCTCCTCTGCCCTCCTCTCTTCTCCTCAAGGTCATGTCGGTCATCATATGAGGCAGGAAGGTTAACAGTCGTTAAATGCTTCCTAGACATCAGGTTTAGCGAAGGGAGCCCTTTTTCTTAACCATGTTATAAAGAGATTAAAACGTGTACATCATCAGAATCTCCTCAAGCTTACTTCAGAGCAGGTGATATGTTTAATTATTCTTCCCAAACATAGAAGATTTAATATAGCGGTCCAAGGCAGTTTTTTCAAATTGAATTTTATTTTTTTTCCTTCAGTCTAGCTATATTCACTTTCAAAACTGCATAGTGATATTAGGTATTTTTCTGTACCATTCTTGGTCTGAAGCTGCTTCTTTAGTAACATGTTTTTTCTATTGCTGTTTTCTAGCAAATGCCGAGTGTTAATGTAAGCTGGGATGGAGACGGCCCAAAGCAACTGCCCTTTATTGACATTTCAGTGGCTGTGGCAACAGATAAAGGTCTAATTACACCAATTATAAAAGATGCTGCTGCTAAGGGTCTACAGGAAATTGCTGTCTCTGTAAAGGTAGGTCTTGACAAATACTGTACTTTCAGAATGTTAGAAATTACTTTCTGATAAAGTCTTGGTATGATATGGTCACACTGTGAGGGAGATACACGTGTGTGTGGTAATATATATTTTTGTTATTTCTAGGTGATTATCAATTATGTATATAGGTTTTTCAGTTTTAATCTGGGTACAACCCATTTTAAGAACATTTAACATTCAAATATTTAGAAATAACATGCAGATAAGTTAGGGCCAACAGCTTCAAGTTATAGATGAATGCTTTATATGCCAAAGTCTCAAATTCAACTCTGAAAATGATATTTTGATAGAATTTAAAGTTAAAGCTGAAACTCTATTTCTATGAAAGTGGTAATGGATAGACCTCACTTTTCACAGCATTTTATTCTTAAAGGTTTATTTTATTCATTTCCTCCCTAGAATTGAGACCATCAAAAAGTACTTAGTATTCCAGAAGCAAAATTACTTCATTTTTCCTGGGCTCCTTTAAAAGCAGTTTTGTAGCTCCAGTACGGAAGAATCAGATTTCACTAAAAGTATCACATTGAATAAGCAATAGGTCAGCTTTGAGAGCCTCATGAATTTCCAAGGGTTTTTTGTTTTTTTTGTTTTTGGCAGAAGTATCACAGATCTTGAAGTGTTAGCATTGAAAATTTCAGATTCATTTAGATAAGTGATTTTTTTGTTTTCCATTTGTCAAGGACCTCTGATATGTTGAGTGATAGAAAGTTACCAGGGGGATAAAAAGTAGAAGATAAGACTTCTTTGGGGAACTGATAGTATGTAAATGTGTAGACTTACTTGCCCCAAATAAATAAATGAATGCAAGTTAATCTAGTTTAGAATCTAGTTGGATCTTAAAGGTAATCTTAGTGGAATTGACATATTTAAGTCTCTCTTCACTCCTCTTTAGAAAGATTTGCAGAGTGTTTTTATAGATAAAAATGCAACTGTTTTTCTTAATTGAGAGGTGGTAATAATTTGGCAAATTCAAAAGTTAAAGAGATTAGTTTATTAGGATATTACATGCCTTTTTTTCATAAAGGGTTTTCAGCAGTAAGAATGCATATATTTCAGTGTTTTTGTGAAGTTCAAATGAGATTAGATTTAACTGTAGTGTTAGAATTTCCCTTAACTGTAGAGTTAAAAATTAACCATCATAAGAAGGTTTCTTTGATTCTACCCAATTTACCTGCAATTCATAGTTTTTAAAGTAGCTGTGTTAGCATTCTCTGTTCCTTGCATCTTAAAGCAACCTAAGTTGAGGTGGTAAGGAAGCAGTGTCAGCAGCCTCTCAGCAGTGGGAAGGGCTACCCTAACCCTTCGGAGTGTCCCACTGGTGGCCCTTGAGCACTCTCTGTAATTCCTGGTGACTCGTAGGCTTGCTGTGTGTGTGCTCTGGCTGCTCATCTGAGCTCCCCACTCCACCTGCTTCTCTCTCCTGCTCTGCGATCTGTGGTCAGCACTCCACTAAGCACTTCATTTAATCCATTAGCCCAGTATTATGGTTGGAAACTGAGTTTTAGCACCTTTAAGAAATTTGTCTATGGTGCTGCATCTAGAAAGCAGTGGAAGTGAGGATTTGTTTAAACGTAGTCATGTATCAGTTCAAGTGCCCCTGTCTTAGGCCTTCTGTGGCTCCCATAGCTA